GAAGAGAAATGTGGAGCCTGATGAGTGGCAGTATAGTGTGTCTGGATACATACCGCCACGACGCCAGGCACCCAGACTGTCACCTTGCCCAAGTTCACAGTCTTGTTCACTGGCGCAGCTTTACTTTAGAAGTACTGACAGTGGGTCCAAGAGCAGCAGTCATGCATTTAGGAGAGGGATCAGGAGATGGCAAGCACACAAACATGAGGCCCTGAGTTCAAATCCCCAGAACCCATGTAAAGCCAATCACTACAGTAGAGCGCAGTCTGTAATACCACCACTCCTACAGCAAGAGGGGAGGTAGAGACAAGAAAAGCCCCGGAAGCTAGAGGGCCCGTTAGGCTGGTGTGTGCAGTGGCAAGCGGGAGACCATGTCTCCGCACAGTGGGCAAAGCGAGAGAGGAGGGCCAACACCCGAGGTTGGCTTCTTGCCTCCATACACACTGTGGAGCCATGCTCTCACACACGCACATCCCCACACACCCCACATACACATCATACCACACAGACGTACAAAAATTAAAAAACAACAGGTTTTAAAAAAATAAGAATGGACATTTCCTACGTGGCCATTAAAGGCAGAGTACAGGGGAAGGAAAGTGAGAGCTGATAGTTAAAGGCCTCCAGGCATGCAGGAGAGTCTGGACCTGAGGCTCTGGTTTGGGGGAAGGTGCACACATCAGTAAGTAGCCTGGTGCAGCTCTGGGTAGAGCAAGAGCTGGAGGCTGACCTGGGACAGGAGCCAAGGTGGACAGTACAGTGAGGACAGGGAGGTGGGCCAAACAGCAGGTGGAGTCAGTGTGTAAATGTCACAGAGACACATCAGTGCCCTTGCAAGGGCTGCTAGGTATATGAGTGATGGTACCATTGAAGAGGCTACCCAAGGGCTGTTCATGAATGAGGATTGTGGTCCTGAATGGGCCCTATCTAACCTTTAAAGAATGCCACAGAGTAGGTAGTAAGCAGCCCTGCTCTGCCTCTGCCCCCCCCCCCCCACACACACACACATACCCCACATGCCATCACCCTATGTGTTTTCTGCCTTTCCATGCTGCAGGCTGCCCAGCACAGGGCAGAGAACTTTGCCCAAGGCTTTCTCCCTAGAGGCCCCACAGTTCTTCCTGTATCCACAGCAGAGAAAGCCTACCTGTGAAATCCTGAGGAAGAAAAGCTCTGTAATTGCTCTCACACCCTCCACCTGCTTCCCTACAGGTCTGCACTTTAGTTCCATCAGGCCTTGGGCAAGGATGGCTGTTCCCGCTCGACCAAGTGCCCTGGATCACACAAACAGCCTTTTGGCAATGTGACTCTTCTATAAATGAACAGTTTCTTCAGTGGCCCTGTGTGGGTGACCATCTCTGCCCCTCCTGTCTTGCCGTGTCTTTATCAGCCCCACTCCCCACCCAACTCACCTACCACAGTGTTTTCTGGCCCACTGGTTACAGGCCATGGCTGAGAAATTCAGTAACTATCTGACAGAAGACCATCTCTGTCCTACAAAGAGCTGAATGCTACAGAATCAACTTGATGCAAACAGCTGGAGAAATGGGTTCTGGGGTCAGTGCCCCACCCCTACAGCCCTGTCCAGTGGCTCACTCTTCAGATAAACACAACAGGACTTAAAGAAGTTGCTGTCCAGCTGCCATACAGCTAATTGTGCAACCAAAAGAACTTGGCCCAGTCTTGCTGGCTTCTGCCCTCTGGTGACACCTTCTGGTAACCCATCCCGACACTGAACGTTTTTACTTCATGTTCAGAGGTGACCAAGTCCCATACAAGAAATCAAAGGCCCCGAAGGACTTAAGACCCTCTCGTTCCATTCCTCATGGCTAGTTACAGTACTGGCCCCTCAGTAACTACCCTACTCTATTAGCTGGAATTCCCTGGGGAGGGGGATCTTGGGGTCCCAGACCCATTGATTCAGACTATTCTCTTGCTGTCTTCAGGTCATCAGACCTAGCGTGAGTTTGTCTTCTAGACCTTGTCTAGACCCTGTGTTGTGGCTGGGGACCCAGCTTCCCTACAGGATCAGCTGCTTTGCAAGATCTGCGAGTACTGGGGCAAAGCACTCTGCTCAAGCCCTGAACCTAAGTCAACAGCTCTTAGAGCACCTACTTCTAGGGAAGGGCACAGCCGTGATCTGCAGTACTTCACACAGCGCCACCTACTGGGAAGAGAAGGATGGGATGCTTAAACCCATGCTGTGATTCTCCAGAGGGGCTTCTGGGAACTTTATAAAATGTCCCTGCCTGGGTCTTACTCCCAGTGGTGCTGATTGGACTGGGTCCCTGCCCTGGTGTTTCATGGATCGCCAGGTGATTATGCAGCCACAACTCTGAGGATCTGGTGAAAACTTGGAGACTTACCTGGATGTGTGCCTTGCCCACGGTGTATGAGCAGATTCCAGCCCTGCCCAAATGCATTACCTTATCCGTTAAATGATTCTTTTATCAGATTCTGAGTGGCTTCTTGTGCCCCAACAGATTAACTGTCCCAAGGCCAGTCTGAGTCTATCCTTCTGCGGGTCCAAGGTATGGGTGCTCAGGTTACTCCCTGACTTGGGAAAGAGTGGGGGCTCAAATTTAACCTGCCTAGTAGAAAATGTGCCCCCATTTCCATACAGAGATTGCACCCATTAAACGCTATGTTTCCCAGCTTTTTAATGGCATTATAACTCATCATGGTCACACTGACTGTCTTACGATGTTCGGAATCTCTGCTTGGCAGTATCCTTTATTTTTAGATAATTTGTTTTGAAGGAGAATGGGGAGAGAGAGGAGACACACACACACACACACACACACACACACACACACACACACACACACACACAGAGAGAGAGAGAGAGAGAGAGAGAGAGAGAGAGAGAGAGAGAGAGAGAGAGAGATTAGTAAGTTCTTAGTTAATGTACTGTGTTTGCTTGGCAAAGACCTCAAAATGTAAGATCCTTGGAAGAAAGTAACTCAAGGGGACTTTAGTAGTTGTAGGTTAGAACCACCAATCTAATGAGGCCCCCTCAACTTGAAAGATGGAAGAACTGAGGGCCAAAGAGATTAAAGAGTCATTTCCCAGCCAAATCGTTCAAAGTTGAGATCCTCACTCAAGCTTTTTAGCCAATACAGTTATATAAGGGGATGGTGGGGGTAATATTTTACTCTAAGTTCCCAGTGGCCATGAAAGCTGACCAACAGGGGTATCCATTAGTCAGTCAGTCACATCTGTTGTTCAGTTACAACAACCCAGACTCAGAGAACCCATGTTCACAGAATTTGTGTGGGGCCTCGATTACCTCCCCTCACAGGGACTCTAAAAGTCAATTGTGCCCTGGGATTCCTGACATTTGTAGGCTGTCATTGCTTTCTTTATTCCAGGAAGAAAAAGTGTTTCCCAGTACAGTGTAAGGTGCCATTCATCAAGAGATACACCCTAAGTTTAGAGAGGTAAAAGCAGAAGGGGGAAACCACGCATCACACAATGGAGAGACTGTTAGCCTCTCCAGTTCCATTTAACAGCACGGCTGTGGTCCTATGTGGTGCCCTTCTGCTGGCTTCTCTCACTTGGAGGTACCAGTGGAGATAAAAGAGTGCTTGGAAGGAGTCATCCATTTGAACAGCAGAAGCGGAGGAGCAGGCACACCCACTCCGTGGGATCCAAGGACAGTCCTGCCTCTGTCCTCAAAAGACCTGGCCCTGAATCAGTTCTGAAGCTAATGGTGTCATCCTGGGCACGCTGCTGTTCTCTGTAAGCCTCAGTTTCTTCCCTCGTCTGCTACACAGAGGTAATACAGCCTTCCCCACCCTCCCAGGATGGCTGTAATATTTAGACAAGAAATTGGCAGAGTACATGCCAATCGCATGATGTAGGTACCTGGTGTGTGTTAATTGCTAAGAAGAACCCCCAAGCATTGTTCCACTGAGGTCTGTGACTGCACAGAACAGAGAGTGTGGAAGTGACCACAGAGTCACTGTGGTACAGATGTGGAACCTTTTGCAGGGATGAGCATCCAAGGTGTGGGCAGAGATGGAGTGGGATAAGAGCAGGTTTCTCTAGCTTTAACCATGCTAAGACCTCTAAGGAAGCCTCCACTATCCATCTGGAGTAAAGAGTCCATTTTGAAATGGAGACCTGGAAACTAGGGGCAGGGAGAAGTTGACCTTCCCAGGATCAGGAGGCAAAACTGAATGTGCTGAATGTACTGGAGTCCAAAACGCTGAGGTAACTCACAGAGGTGTGTGAGTCCTGCGCAAATGGTCTTCATATTCCATGTGTGGCACCTGGAATACACGTGTGGTGTATACATGCATTCTACTTAAGCATCACACCCACCAAGATGGCTCTTCGGCCTCATAATCCCTGGAGGCTGCCCTGGCTGTGCTCCGTGACACCCCTCCTCAGAAGCAGTTCTCAGACCAGCAAGTGAGCAGGCTCCTATCTGGCCCCATCTCAGGATCAACCAGAGTATGCCAGTTAGCAAAGAAGGAAACCCAGCTCCCTCCCAATCCTGTGTAAGAGTGGGAGGAACATGGACCCCTTTCCAGGGATCCCTCCTGGATCTGTCCCTCCTAGAAGCAAGGCCTCAGGCAGGGCACCTTTCCTTAGTGAGCCTGTTTCTTTACCCACTGTCCAAATGTGAGCATGGACCAGCATAAAAGGCCCTCTGGGAAAATTGGAGAGACCAAGGAGCACTCAGGGGAAAAGACCACCCAGAATGGCATGGGGAAGGCAAAGGATCTTTACCCCTCGTCGGTAAGAGGCATAGATTTGAACTCAGGCTTAGATTCGAAATCTCTCTGCATCTGGGGGGTGTGTGGCCTGGCAAGTCCACCGAACACCTGAAGCCCCCATTTGCTCATTTAGAAACTAACAGGAATTCTTCCTTTAGGCCCGCTGGGAAACTAATTGACAAGGTGACTGAAAAGGGTCTGGTGCCCAGTGGGCACTAGACAGGTGGCAGCTGGCGAAGCCTCAGGTGCCACCTGATCCCCCTTGTGTCTCCGCAGGTAGGTGGGGCAGCTGTCATGGCCGTGGGTATCTGGACACTGGTGGAGAAGAGCGGTTACCTCAGCGTTTTGGCCTCCAGCACATTCGCTGCCTCTGCCTACATCCTCATCCTCGCTGGTGCTCTTGTCATGACAACTGGCTTCCTGGGCTTCGGGGCCATCATCCGGGAGCAGAAGAGCTGTCTCTCCACGGTGAGTGTCCCTCTGTCCCTCTGTGGAGACTGTCTCTCCACGGTGAGGACTCGTGCATGGAGAGCGAGTGTAGGCCTGTGCTCTGTGGGGGCAGGGAAGCATCACACGTGTCCCCCAGGTTGGGCCCAGGTAGGGCATTTGGGATCCTGGGGAGCCAGAGCGGGGTGGCTGCTATGGGGACTGTGGTGGCTATGCTCTCCAGGTACGTAGGACCTAAGCCAGGAGGTCAGCCTTAGCAATTCCCACGGCAGTTTCTAGAGTCTTCCTTCTTCCTCTTCCTCTTCTTCCTCCCCTTCTCCTTTCCTTTCCTCTCTTCTATTTCTCTTCCTCTCTTTAACTCCTCCTCCTCTCCCCCCCAAATCTTCTTCCCTTTCTCCTCTTCCTTCTTCTGTCCCTCCTTCCTCCTCCATCTTGTCCTTTCTCCGCCTTTCCCTCCCCTTTCTCCCCCACACCCCCATCTCTTCCTCCTTCCCCTTCCAGACTTTAGCAGGCAATTTTCACAGAGATGCCAAGATTGAAAACAGGGCTATGGTGACCCTCTGTGTCCCATCACCCAGAGTTCATCTAGTCCTCTCATGGTCGCCTTCATCGGGTGCACACCCACCCTGCCCATGTCCTGCCCATGTCCTGCCCATGTCCTGCCCATGTCCTGCACTCTGTTGTGAAGCAGCCCCAGACACTGCGTCATCTGTACTCCAGCACACGTCTCTCAAGCCTAAGGGTCCTTCATCACAGCTAAAAGCAATCAATAGCCAGTCCTTAACGTCAGGAATAATGAGGTGGCTTCTGACTTCCCCCAGCTGACCCACAAAGTGGTGTTTCTTTTTAAGTTTGTTTAATTAGCCCATGTGTTGATTTGTCTCTGAAGTCTCTTTCTACCTCTGGATTTGTTGAAAGATCCAATGCTTCATTTTATGGATTTTTAGGTTTTTTGGGTTTTGTTTTTGTTTTTGTTTTTTGCTATGCCCTTGTATGTTATTTAACATACACTCCTAGCAGTTAGTGCCTTGGAAAGGCTTGATCAGGCTTAACTGATTTGGTCATTTGTAGAGAGTATTTCATGGCTGGCATTTGTAGGCACCATAGACTCCATGACACTTTTTCCTGAGGGTTTGGGGGAGACCCATAGGAGCTGCTCGGGGTCAGGAAAAAGGCCAAGGAGGAATCCACACAGACTCCGAGGCTGAGACCACCCCTAACACCCAGTACCCTTGTCTGTGGCTACTTCCCATAACCTAGAGGTCTCTCTGGACCCACCTCAGAGGACCAAGTCTGATGTCCAAAAGAGAAGAAACAGAGAAGACTGACAAATGCCTGGGCTTTGCAAGGAAACCTAAGCTGAAAAAATAGATCCAGATTTCAAAGAGAAATCAGGGTGAGCCTGAAAGGAAGCAGGCAATGGAAAGAAGCCCCACAGGACTCTTGAGCTCCCTATATCCACTCTGCACCCCACCTCCCAATATCCACCATACACTGTGCAGCTCCGTCTTGCACTTGTCCTTGGGAGTGGGAGGTAGGGGCTGCTGTGGGGAGCCTGAGGCCTGGCCCCTGCAGCAGCTTTCAAAGCAGCGACCTAGTTTTTGGCCTGGATATAAAAGCCGCTCTGTGCAGGCCCAGCTGGATGGTGCTCCCATTTTGAAGAATTCCTTCATTTTGCTCTGAGGGAGAGCCTGGAGCCAGGGTGCTGGCAGGGTACATGGTGATATATAGGGTAAAGTTCCATGGGGGATCAACCTTCAGGGTGTGTACTCTAAGCCTCTTTCCAGCAGTGAGGCGGAGGTGCTGGGAGGCAGCCACAGCTTGCCTGGCTATCTCTCATGCAGCCTGGCAAGAGCAGGGTCATCTCTTGAAGCCCATAGGAATGGGTCCTGGGAAAAGCCCCCACACCCTGCCCTACACATGCACACACACACACACAGCTAGAGCTAGGGGATGCTCAAGTGCCTTATACATTATGGTGCAGTATTCCCATATAGTCTATACATCTCTTTAAAATCATCTTTAGCTACTTATAATACCAAACACCATGCAAATGCCACGTAAATAATTGTGTCTTATTGTTAAGGGCTAAGGGTGACATTCTGTACACACTAAGTACAGACACACCATAGCAGGCCAGTCTCCCTCACATGCCACCCAAAGCTGGTTGACCTCATGGATGTAGAGGGCCAACTCTGTCTCCAACAGATCGTGAAGAGTTGGCCACCTGAGGTCCATGAGAGTCTTTGGTATGTCCCAGATCTGACCATTTCAGCTGGAAGAAGACACTGGGTTATAGCTAAGAACTCAAGCAGAGACTTGTCCTGTGCTTCACAGACCAGACCTGTGGTGATGTATTATGTACCCTAATAAACTTGCCCGAGGATCAGAGGACAGAGCCAGCCACTAGATTAGACATAGAGGTCAGACAGTGGAGTCACACACCTTTAATCCCAGCACTTGAGATACCATGCCTTTGCTTGGGAAGCACACACGCCTTTAATCCCAAGAAGTAATATGGCAGGGCAGAGAAAGGTATACAAGGCGTGAGGAAACAGGAATTCACTCTCTTTAGGCTGAGGATTTCATAGAGGTAAGAACTAGTGGCTGGCTGTTCTGCTTCTCTGATATTTCAGCTTTCACCCTGACATCTGGCTCTGGGCTTTTTATTAAAATACCATCTAAGATTTGAACAACACAGACCTCATGGAGACAGAGTCTTAGAGAAAGACCTCTTTCCTTTGCAGACTCAGCTCCTGGGTCTTTGTCCTGCTGGGCTCAGAGAGGCAGGGAGATCTAGGTGAGCTGTTGCCCTGGCCCCTGGGACCTGTCCCAGGAAAACAGGATGCTAAGCCCTGTGCCTCCTTCCTTCCTACCATGGCCTCTGCCTTACAGGGCATCTCAGGGAACAAGAAACAGAGGAGGAGCCTTCTGCTGGGAAGACCAGGGCTCCCTTTTGTCACACTAAGAAGGAATGCAGACACTGTCCCTTGGGGACCCAGCTTCTGACTCAGCCATCCATCTCAGGGGCACAGCTTGCTGACGACACAGATGGCCACTGTTCACTGAGCACCACCCGCTGCTGCTCACACTCCACCAACCCTGCGAAGGCATGGCCATCTGCACTGTTCCCAGCACTGGTGCAGGCTAACTCACTCAGGCCTCACACGCCCACACACTCAGACTCATGATGTGCACTTGACAGGAGCCGGGGAGCAGGTACAGGTGAAGTGACCTGCCTAGAGAGGGGTCACTGGGAGGGGCATGAAGGAGACAGGAAGCAATCAACCTGTCAGGGAGGGGTGGGACACACAAAGAAAGGCCAGAGGGATGTCGTTGGTGCCTTTGAATGTCAGCAGGTCAGAGTGGGGAAGTTGGGAAGAGAAATTTATGGCAGGGCCCAGTCTTACCTGTCTGATCCACCTGGTCACTAGTTATTGGAGTGCTCACAATTGAGGAGTTGAGGCAGTGAAAACATACAACGCACACCTATAGGCCGGGGCAAATGGTCCATTTCCTGTACTCTGACCTGGTACATCTATCTCCAGAGAGGCAAGATTCACTCACCTTTACAGCTGAGGAGCTAGGCCTGGAGATGTGGAGTGACAGGGAACCCAGCACGCAGGACCCCCTCCACTTCCCCTAAGCTTAATGGTTCTACAGTCAGGTCTAGAGTCTGCCCAGAAAGCTAAACAGAGCATGATCTCCAGATATGCTTTCAGATCAGAGATACAAAATGTGGCAGGCTGTCTGTCCACCTACGACTGCATGTGCGTGTACACATGTATGCACACACACACACACACACACACACACACACACGCACACGCACACGCACACGCACACACACGCACGTACTCTCGCATGCACGTACACTTGCACACACATTCTGAACCTTCTTTTTCAACACATTCTGAAGCTTTATCAGAGCTCCACCTGAGGTGGGATGTAGGAGCCCCCTTCAAAGATCACCCACCCACACATTCCAGAGCCACCCTTCCTCACCAGGCCGCATGCTCTCTGTGGCACCCCAGCAGCACTGACCACATGGCTAGTAGCTCCACTTTGGAGTGAATCAGGGAACGAGCTGCCAGGGACAGGACCCCAGAAATCACCCTCACTCTTTGCATTTCATTTGGAAAGAGACCAGAGGTCCTGAGTCATGAGAAGGACATGAGCCTGAGACCTGCTAGGAGGCACATAGGTGGAGAAGACAGCCTGTCTGTGCAGTAGACAAGGCCCCGGAGCTTATGAATTCACCAGACTTTCTGGGCCCAGGCAAGTGTCTCTAGCTAAGAAAGACATGGAGAGTAATGTCTATAGGAAGGGGCTGATAGGGAAGTGCGCTGGGGCTTCAGAAGAGGAGGGCTCATCCCAGCAGGCCACTGTGAGGTTTTCCTCATTGCAATCTGAGTGCATTTCAATTGGGGGCCTTTCTTAGTGAGCCCAACAGAGCCAGCTGTGTTGACTCGGTCTCTACAAAACCATTGCAAGGTCTACTCTTTGGGGCCTGTGTGCTGATCAGGGAAATACTTTCCAGTTCTGCTGGGAACTAGAGCCTTAGCTATAGGATCGGATCCTTGGGGACTTCCTAGGTCACTGACTTCAAGTGCACAGAGGACTACTCTGTGGCTGAGTAGAGGGCAGAGCAAGACAACTTAGGGAGTCACAGTTAGGCTGTGGGGGCTGGGTCCTGGTACCCTCCAAACATCTTCCCGTTACAGCTTCTATGGAGGATGTGGCCTCACCCAGGCTGTGGGCACGCTGGGAATAGTGGCCCTAAAAATAACTGCTAATTTAGGTCCCTTCTCAAAGGAGTTCCGCTATGATGTGTTGATTGGAGCCATGTTTTTATGATCTTTACATAACGTGGCTTCCCTGGATCTTATTCTTCCTCATTATCCTCACACCGTCTCCCCTGTAACAGTGGGGTTACTACAGTGGCTAGGAGAAGCTGGGTGACTCATCCAGGCTGGAGGTTGCACAGCAAGGTGGACAAGCTGCTGTAAAAACTGCTTTTG